AGATTAACGTGGTCTGATGATCATAAAAAGCCAGCAAAAGAGGCCTGATCAGCTGCCAGCTGGTCTAAGAACGTGAAGCAGTGATTCTATTTGCCATTTTATATCGAACCCCATAGCGGAGGTGAGTGGAAGTTGAGTTGAAAAATAGAGCAGCTGAAGTGTATTCCACCAAAGGACAATGGCGGTGTCATTGAGTGAGTCGGCTTGATGTTCTAGCCTCAGACACGAGAGTTTCTCTCAGGTAAGTATTGGAGGACTGCACAGAGGAAGCTGCAAAGGCAAAAGCAGTTCAGCATGATGTTTGCGTACGAGCAGAGAAGACCACATTTTTCCACTTTCCAAACTAGTTTTGGTACAATGAATTCCGAACTGGATATTTTTGATCAACACAATGAGGGAGGGTTGTGGAACATGAAGCTGTGTTATCAGGTCAAGAGAGGAGTATTTCGTCTATTATGCCTGTCATGTTCACAGAAGTATCGGTTCAGTTATTGAGAGAAATCAATGCAACTAAATAACAGGTAAGTAGAAATGTCATTGGTTAAGCGGGTATCAACCAATCGCCGTCCTTGTTCTTTGACGCACATGGCTTCTGTTTGAATTGTCTGGCCGTTGATTGATCGCCATTGTTAGCCCGTGGCCTGATGTTCAGAAACTGGGACTCGCAGCTACTTTGAGAGTTGACTCACCACAGTGAACTAATGCAATGAAATGGCATCTAACGAATGAATATATTGTTTTTAAACTAGGTGTTTTAGATCGAACCCGTGTAACATTACTTTCATTTTGAAGAGACATTTCAATTTCCAATATCATATCTATTTGTTGATAGATATTAGTGATGAGTGTTTATTCCGAATTTTATCTCCCACTGCAATACAATAAGTTCTGTTGCATCACCCTTTGGAATGTGTGCAACCTTGATTATAGCAATAACATTTTTAGTAGTTTGAAACCTAGAGCTCGTAAATGAAAAAATATTTTCTGCAAAGCAGCATGGAAATTCATTCTTTCTAATAAATAATTGCTGTTTCATTAAATGTTTTTTCCCCTCACATTTATGCAGTTTCTGGATGGATCAACTCCAACTGCTTTCTTTGCCTTGCAGGTTTAACTTCAACCCCAACCAATAGAATAGCTGTCTGCCAGTCTTTCCTTACCACTCTCTGTATCCAGAGCTTACGGCACTTTTTCTCCCGAGTTCACCACGGAAAGTGGTGTTCGTCAGGGTTGCCCTCTTTCTTTCCGTTTCTATTTAACTTCGTTTAGATCTGATTATGGAAACAGCCCTATCCTCGTGCGAGGATAGTGGCATAGATTTACTTCTAGGTGGCAGGCTGTCTGATCTGGAGACATTGTGCTACTAAGTGAAGATCCATGTAAGTTGCAAGCATTTCTGGATAAGTTGAATGCCAGTGTAGCCACATTCGGTATGCGTTTTGCACCTTCAAAGTGTAAAATGTTACTACAAGACTGGGTTGGTTCAGCACCCAGCCTCACTCTAACTGGGGAAGTAATAGAGTAGGTGGATAAGTTTTGTTATCTGGGCAGCTACATCTCACCCGGTGGACGCATCACGGATGAAGTGTCAGCTCGCATACAGAAGGCTCGGTTGGCATTTGCTAACTTGAGACATCTGTGGCGCCGTCGCGACATCCGGCTGTCTGTGAAGGATCGAGTGTATGCTGCGACAGTTCGGCCAGTTCTGCTATACGGTGCAGAAACTTGGTCATTAAGAAAATAGGGCACAGATAGACTATCGGTGTTTGAACACCGCTGTCTACGCAGCATTGCACGAATCTGGTGGGGTAGCCGGATGAGCAATGCTGAGGTTAGGGGCAGAGTTTTGGGTAAATACGGTCGCCCACTGGAGCAATTGATCGACCTCCATAGATTACGTTGGCTGGGACATGTGCTACGCATGTCACCAGGTAGGTTACCACGGCGAGCGATGTTCGCCGAAGAAGATACAGAGTGGAAAAAAGCCAAGGGTGGTCAAGCTAAGACCTGGCACGAGGGTATGAAAACCCTAACCAGGAAACTGGGTCACATAGGTCCCGTTAGGCTCCCTGGCTGGGGACCTCGGGATGATCGTAACCGATGGTTAGAAACACTGAGCGATATGGCTGGGTGTCGTAAACAGTGGCGTTCGTGCATCTCCTCAATTTCTTCCCAACCTTAGTCCACTGAACTTCTCCATTTTCCTTTCGGATCCACTTTCAACTTTCTTCTCCTATTCTTCATCCAAATGGGCAGCCAAAAGACAGCAACCAAAACCGGCGCACGAAAGTGTATGGTTAATGGTTGTTCAAACTGAAACTGTTCAAACTGAAACTGAAACTGAAACTCTGTATCCAGGTCACCTTGCGACTCGTACCCTCCTTTCCGTACCGTCGTTCGTCAAGCGCTAAGCCTCTCGTATCGTCTCCCGCCCGGAGAACACGAGCCGGGAGAATATCCTGTCACGCATTTCTGTTGTTCCCTTCGTTGCACTGGGATAGATAGCTCGGAGTACGTTTGCATTACAATTCACTTGTCACGCGTGCCTACCTGGCCACATCTCGTTTTTTCATAATGTGATTCACATTGTTCGGAGAATATTTTACTTTTTTATTATTATTTTTATTTATTAATGATCATCAGACATTTTCCCCCACGTCCGTAAGTAAATAGATTTGTGCTAACCACACTCTCCTTGGCCGGTATTACTGAATTCTGTTAGTATCGTTAGCTGTATCGATTAGTTGGCACACACACACACACACCCGGAATAATGTCATTTCCATCTATCGGCACGATTGCGCCGAACAACCCGGAAACCTTTTCATCCGCGCGGTGCGTGCTTCAGAAAAAAAAAACAAACTCCAAAATGCCGTCGTGCGTGTTTGGCTGAAGAAGCTGGCTGCTCGCAAAGTTTCTGTAGAATAAAATTTGCATGCCTTTTCTGACCGTCCCGCATAACAGTGTGACATTTTGGCTGGGGTTACTAGTCGTTCGCAACTTCCCAGGTAAGTGACCCCCAGATGACCGTTAGGACCAAACAATCAACTGCCACGATTCGAACGAGTGTACGACTGGACCCACGTTCCGCGTTCAATCGGCGATACCCGTGCAATCCCAAGACAGTTAAGTCGGCCCCCGTGGAGTACGATCGCGGGACCTAATCAAAAAAGAACCAAGGAAGATAAGCCTTCGAGAGAGTTTGTATTTTTAAATCGATCAAATGGTGACTGTTTATATAGATTTTCACGGTTGGTCATTAGTGACCTTGTAAAAAATAACTCAAAGTTTCAAACTTTTTTGGAAAACCGACCAATCATGTACGAACTTGGCTTGTGATCCAAGATGAGGCTTTTTGAGCGAAAACTTGAATTTTACCAAGAAAAATAGGGGGAAATAAGTGAAAACAGTTAGCCAAGTAAAAATAAACAGTGAGGTACCAACTCCACCTGGAACGGACAGATCCGGCGTTAAATAAATCAAAACACATTCCGAAGTTTCTGCTTAAAATAATGAAATCACTTGTCAACCTCCCATCTACCCACATGAAGTATGCAATTCCATGACCGCAACGCGATCGTACGATTGTGGGACGTCTACAAAGAATGATCAGTCAAGGGACTGCATTCCAAGATTGATGTGAAAATGTTGGAATGAGTGGGACTGTACTCCACACAGTATCATCGAACTAGAGGGGACTTAATCTTGGTGTATCAAATAATGCAGGACCCTGACCACCCATGTCGTTCACTATTCAACTTGTCACCCAACACTCACCACAGGAGGCACTTATTCAAATTAGTGCTCCAAAAATGTCGATTAAAATGTCGGTTTCATTCATTTGTCCTTAGAGACTGTGCACTACTTGGAATTCTCTACCACCACACATTGTTTCTGTGCCCACAAATGATTATTTCAAGCAGAAACTGGATGATATTTTGACATGTCTTAAATTTCAACATTCATAGCAGTGCACAAACTAAGGACAATTAGTGACATTCCTGATCTTTCTATGAACCCATGAATCGATCCATTTGTCCGTAAACCCCTATGGGACACAGAAAGCAACGGCTTGTAAGTATTTCTCATAATAAAATTTTGACTTTGACTTTATTTGAAACAGGGACAGACACGATACGAATGTTGAGGGATGTGCGCATTTTATTTACTAACCTCAAACGATAGTGTAAAATATGTCGATTATTATCTATTATACGGAACAGACAAAACATTGGAACTGAGCCTGATGAGGTTCATCGATCGAAAAGCGAAGGTAGACAGACATTGTGAACCAGTGAAAGGTTTTGGTTCAACTAAGACTCGCCCATTTGTTATCATCAAAACGATTGCATGGGATGGATTTACACGTTTGGGTTAAGTAAACTTAATCACCTGTTATCACGAAATGTTCCTGGATCGAACTCGCCAACTTGCTCGTCGTTGTCCGTCAATCAATCAATAATTGCACTGCGTCATTGCGTCCATCATTTCGGCTGCGGAAAGTAGTTAACACGCTATGCGCACTATGAAACGCTTGTTCTTGTTTGCTGCGCTTACGGTATACGAGAATAAGAGACGCCTCTCAATGACGATAATGGGCGGCGAAACGACAGTCCACTATCTAGGTCGTTATAATCCGATTGGCTGATTTGAATTTGAACACAGGCTTACGGTCACAAAGTTCTGCTTCTATAGCCCGAGGAGCAACAAATGGAGACATGAGAAAAAGAGAAGAAAGCGAGCATGCAAGGTCAGATTCCTGTACTAATTGCACACATACACACACACACACGTAATTTGCGACAAACCGTTAGCAAAAACGCAGCACTAATGGAAGTGCGATTTCCAACACTTTTGGAACCCACTTGACCTGATTCGCGTGTTTTAGATGTGCTGGTAATACATTTTAGTTTACAAAAAAGTGTCCGTATCAAAGTGATTCGTGACATCAAAAAAATATTAGAGCGGATACAAAAGGGTTAACCTTTTGTGCAAACGATAAAAGTACTCCAAGTCACAGAAAAACTGCTTGTTGTTCCAGTTGGAAGAGGCCGCCAGTTCGTTGTCATACACCGATCGGTGCGAGGTGTTTGTTCGTGATCTAAACTAGTTGCTGTTTTGAAGAGATGTGAAAAAGTTGATGCTGTATTTCATGTGCACAGTAAATAATGTTGACAGAAGAAAATCTTATTAGATAAATCATCATCGTTCCGGTTTTTTAGTTGTAACTTTTATCGATCGATAAACAGAGACGAATTTAGAGTATCTGGTTTGGATTAGCCCATTCGAATGTTCACAGCCACCAGGCACTGTTGATTATCTTGGCTGTGGAATTCACTCCTTCGGGGATCGCCAATGCCTCATTAGCCTGTGAAAAACAGAAGAGACTCTAAACTGATTGAGCCATTCACACAAGGTGATAACCATCTACCATGTATCTCAGGGGTAAGAGTATTGACTCCCAACTCGAAGGTTCGTGGCTCGAATCGTGACAGGAACTCAAAAATTATGAACTGCTGATAGTCCCTAAGACAGGACGAAACAGATGTCCAATGAGCGCTCTTTGTCAGTAAGCAATCCATCGTGTTTAAAAGAAAAGTCATGAATTTCATCAAGAACTGAAGAAATGGATACCAGAATCAACACAGAACTCATAAAAGAGTAATCAAGATCGTTCCACTTCGACCCGGAAAAATGAACATTGGGGCGGAGGTCAGTTGCTTCGGTTACATCTACGGTGTGATTGGTGTTGATGAGGTCTGGAACCACGGCAGTTGGGGTTGATTTACTTCCTTCGTTCATCAACCACACGAGATGGTGCTCACGGATGGGCTTGAACAGATGTACAGTTTGTAAAAAAACATGGCACTCGTATAGGTTGAAGCGATTAAAATGTTGCCAGTGCTCAAGAGAGGGCCCAAAATATTCAAATAAACGTAAATGGCAAAATTTTGAATTTTTCAATCGTTCGACTGTGATTGAAAGTGATAAATGAAACGAGAATAAATACATGTAGAGACACGATTATTAGTAACCAAGTCACAAACATGAAATATTCGCTTGTTTCATACAACAGAATGCTTTTCACACGGTGTTGTCCTGTGCTACTGTGCTACTGGTGTTCAAAATTACTTCACACAACACGGTTCATCGATCTGTCATCAGATGCCTTTATGAATGCACACCCACGATCAAATCAATCAATCGCTGGTCACGTGCGTGTACGACTTGAAGCCAACTGATTGCGCTATCCTTTGCAAGGTGATAACGTAAGCTGTTTGTTCAAACCCACTGTGCAACTGACCCCCAAATCGTCTATCGGACAATTACGTAACCGGGTGGCTGAACATATCCCAAATTTGGTTCAAAGTCAGATGACGCAATCGGGGTCAAGTCTGCGACATAGAAACAACGGTGGAAACTACGAGACTCCGTCATCTTCCGATGACTCAACACCAGATCGACCGAAGCACGGCGTTTCGGATTATCTACAAGTTATGAATCGCAAGATTGCTAAGGTTTGCAGAGGCGATTGCTATCAGGCAATGGAAGCCCTTTTTTGTCAACAAAAAGAACTTCATGTTAGTTTGTCTTTACCCTGGTGATATAATCCTTTTTCCGTCCCAATTTTATGTTTGTCTGTTTCATTGTATTTTACATTTCTTTGTTGCCATGTGGAATATTGTGTTTTCTGCAGTATGCGCACCAGGTTGAGATGCAGCGGCGAAATCGTCCTGGTGGAGTGCAGTGCAGTGCATTGCAATATGGTCTTTTCTTTTGAAATCGATCTCGAGAAAGGTTTGCTTCAACAAGTTGCAGACGACAATGATTGTATAGATCTAGCACACCAAGAGGCTTCGGAGAACTAAGGAGTGGACGACAATGTTTCACTATTACAAGAGGGTAAAAGCAACTGTTGGCGAATTAATAGGCCTCAATTTACAAGCAACGGGTAAATAGAAGCCTTTAAAGGTGCTGCTTGACAACAAATTGTAGTGATCCTAGCCTACAGGATAATGCCAGCCACGGAGGTGACGCGTTACAGTTTTTGGACAGCGTGTAACAAGCCAATCGTCCCGACCAATCAGAAGTCGTGCAGTCCAGACAGAAGCTGTATGACGTCAACAATGCAAGCAGGAAATTGGTGGAGACTTGTACAACAAATAAAATCTTTTTATACAT